ACCAGGACTTGTTACGTTTGACAAGAACAAACAGTGGCTAATTGAAATGGCACTTTATTGAAACAAGCTATATTTGAACTGTGGTTTCTTAGCTTTCTTTCTGTTGTGTAACCCCTTTACTAATTCTTGTCCCTAAGGGCACAAAAAATTCCTGAGTCAAATGGATGCCATTTTGGTCTGCGCAGACACAAAATACCAGAAATTGGGAGCAGACTTAAACAGCACACTCTCTGGCATACAATAACTCTGATGCTTTTCACTCTTGTATGTCCAGGTTATTAACAAATACTGGCTCCCTACATTACCTTACAAAATCCATGAAATTCAAGGACATGGTCAATGAGACTACTAATTTCCATAAGACAATCACACTTACTTTTTTAGGATTGTACACACCACAACACACCTAATTTTAAAAGCAAACTATGTGACAAGCTTAAAGCACAGGACCCAAGAACTGCTGCACTGAGACACCTTGACCAAAACAAAACTATCTTACAAGAATGACTTCATATTGCCTGTTGCCAATGTTTAAGAAGAGACGATGAAGCTTCCCATAGCACCTGACCACCTCATTTTTATCATCACGAAAACATTAGTCAAAGCATGTGGAACATAAATTACTGTGACTGTGCAAAGAAATGTGTCAGCCATTATGTGATCAGGCATATCCCACCTACAGCTGCAAAGGTTGCTGTTAATTAAGCTGTTGTGGCATTACACGAGCAAAAGGATTTGGACCAAAGAAGTATGTGGCATAATTTGTATTTCTTTTACACACTGTCAAGATGATCTAAAGGTCTTGGGGAGTTGTAGCTGGTTGGGATCTTAGTTTTATTCTGTTTACTTGGCACAATGTTCAGTTAATGATGCTATACTGTAGCATCATTAGAACGTTTATGACTATGACATCATCAGGCTTCATGGAAGATCAAGTTTCCAAAGCACTCAAAATATAACCACTTCCTCAGGAGATATTATTATGGCCTCACTGTCAGGTTAATGTATTTTATTGGTATTAATCTCTGAAATGAGTTCTGACAACACGCAGTTCTGTTAAATCAACAGGTACAAGACTGACATAATTATTGCTTTATTATCAAAAGCATTGACCATACAGTCTCCAAAGATGAGAAAAACAAATTATTTTGTAAGTTAAAGTGAATGTTAAAAGGCTTCCAGTATAAGGTAGGGACAAGAAAACCTACAATGTATTTGCTTCTCCATATAAAAAGACCAATTCTCTCCAATATAAGCTAGTCAACATTTCAGTAACTAAAACCCTGGCTTTCACTAAATTACCTGTGTGAATCAATGAGGTATGTTAAGCAGCCAAGAACTGGCAAAATGCCAATGCAATTACTCTGTTCCCCCATATGGAGCACCCCAATACACCATCAGAGTTTAAGTGGCTTCCCACAACTTTTCAGATACCATTCATTTCCACTGCAGGGTCCCAGTTAGTTCTATTCAGACTTTAAAAGAGGCAGAAAGGGTGCAACAGAAAACTGGCAATAGCATTTTATCCAGCCTTTATTTCAAGTATGGAATGAAAAAGAGTATCTACCAAGGTAAGAGCATTTGCTGTGAAAACTCTGGCTAAATTACTATAATTTTGCCTAAAAGGTTCTCCAAATCTATTCTTAGGCTCCCTTAAAACATATTTCAATTATGGATACAACATCATACAAGCAGTCATGGTCAAAAAGATGAGACAGCTACATTCTGCCAACAGACAAAAGGTCATTTAGGCTAGACCTGCTCTTTACTTGTTAATGTTTCTGTACACCTGCTGAGAGGAAGGGCAAAAAGCCTTTCCACTTAATACCAATTAGGGTCCACCAGATGCAAAAGAAACCAGTCTAAGCACAGTAATAGTTGCCAGCTTGCTAATGCACAATGGGGGGCAGTGTTAATTTCAATTAATTTCATTGTTTCAACTTATGCATATTTTGCCTCATTTGTAGTCATTGCTAAGGAAGATATATTTATCACTTTAAAAATCATTTCCTCCCAATTACCCATGTTGAATGTACACTTTATAATTAAGAAACAATGGATTCTGAAATGAACGATTTCATTAAGTTGTCAACTGTGAAAAATTAATAGGAGGCTTCATTATATGTTCTAACAGTTCATTCATTACCCAGTCATGCCAGAAAAAGCTCCTAGAAAACACTGATCTCATATATATGCTATAGATAGCAATATGAAAAGAAAGAGGGGAAGAAACAGGACTTTCAAAGCACTGAACCTGCACCATCTATTACCAAAATGGATTAACAGTGATAATCCTACGCATGTCAATGCAGAGATGAGTCTTAATGAGTTCAACAGCACTTATTTCCTGCTGGCACAGGACTGCAATCCTATAGAAACTCACCTGGGAGTACCTGCTGTTGAACTCATTGAGACCTACTTCTGAGGAAATATGGCAAGGATTACTAAGGGGAAGCATTCCTAAAAAAAACGGGGGGGGGGTGGTATTTAATGCAGGCAGCTAGCATCCTGCATCTGTTTGGCACAAACTACATAGATATTTTGATTTCCATCTGTCTGTGTCAAGCGAAAGGCACACAGGGTAACTCTTATTATTGGTTTATTCAAGAAAAGAGACGCTAGCAAAGAATGATGGCTTGCCCTGGAAAAGGTGACACAAATTGACCAAGAGCCCCCCCACCGTACAACCAACAGTCCTTCAACCCCCAAAACATTGCTTTGCTCTTTAGCTTACTGAAAAGAACAAGTATAATTACTGTTAATATTTCTCCCCTCTGCCACTCTTAACCTTTGAGGGAGGTTGTTCCCAATCGGGACTATCCTGTACCTTTGTGAAGGCAAGACTCCATTTTAAAAGAGGAAGGGACAGTTCCTCCCTGCCCACCAGCCCCCAGTGGGGTTGAAAGCCCTGGACAAGATTACGCAGCCTGGGCTGTAACCTTCCGAGGCCCTCCAGAGGGAGCTCGCTGGCACACGTGGTGTCAGTCACAGGCAGCGCAGTTTGCCAGATGCACAAGAACGCTTGTCTGCACAGGTGATTTTCTGTGGGGGGGGGGTGTCTCCCAATGAACACGGAGCTCTCTGCACTCTTCGGGGGGGGGGGCAGGGTGTGAATGAAACCAGGCTTGCTCAGCACAGTACAAAGTGCAGTGATGTCTTAGGGAGCAAGCATGCTAGCCAGTAGTGAATGCAAGCTGGGTGGCCAGGGGGAAGCCTCACCCCTCTTTTCTATTGCAGCTCTTGCCCCAGCCTATGTGGGGTGAGATTGTTCTGTGCCCCCTTTACCCTGCAGCGGAAGCAACGCTGATTAGAGCAATGGCAATCAAATCTGGTGGAAGGGTTTCTGTTTGCCTGCTCGGCGTACCATGGGCGCCTTCCCTCTCTCACCGCTGCCAGGAAAGCCTTGTGGGAATGGCCACAGCAGCCGAAGTGCAAAGAGAGCAAGCAAGCAAGTAGGTGTGGGGGGGGGGCCTTGATGTCCCTCCAAAGGAGGTTGGTCGGAGGGAAGAAACAGCAGACCCATCACTGCTGCCTGAGGTGGAGAGATGCAGCTCAGAATGTGCCAGCCGTAGTGCCTTTACAGCCCGAGGTGGCTTCACAGGCTGCTGTTTGAGAGAGAAGCAGGAGGGACCACAAGAGCAAGCTCCGGCTGGAACGGGAGCTCCTCCCCGCCCTCCCCAGACAAGAGTTAAACCGAGAATGTTGAGGCTCCGCTGCAAGGATGCCAAACGGATCATCTGGCAAGACCACAGGGTCAGTCCTTGAGGCGAAGGATTAGCAAGGGGGGCAGCCGCAGATGACACCATTGGGGAGGGGTGTTGGCAGGGGCAGGGCAAGGCAGACAGCTCTGAGCCAATGAGGCAAATGCCCAACTGAGGCGAAGTGAAAAGGGTTCAGAGCGCGGAGGACGGCTTGCTCCAAATGGGCATCTGGGGTGGCGATCAAAGGCTAGCACAGCAGCCCAGGCAGCGGGAAGTCAAGATCCAGTTCAAGCCAGCAATGGGGCTGGGGGTGGGGTGGGGCAAGGGAGGGTGGGAAGGGATACAGTATTTGGGCGGTTAGCACTGGGGGGCCCCTCCAGGGCATTCCCCTGTGAGCCAAGGGCCAGTGCGGCTCCAACATTCTCTTGCTGGCTCCCTGCTTAAAAGGTGGAGAGCAGAAGCATTTCCCTGGAGGGATGGGAAGCAGCTGCCAGCATCAGAGGCTGCTGGGAGGGGAAAGAGCTATTTGAAAGTGCCCCAAACTCCAAATCCAGCAGCCATAGCCCCTCCCTGTTGCTCTCAGGCTGCAACATAATTATTCCAGCTTGAATGACGTTGACAAATTAACAGAGAAGCCAAGGTTTTTGAAGTAGAAGAATAAATTGCTGTAATCCTTAGCACCAGACACCAGGCCATGCCTAGTCATTAATTGGACAGGATCTTTTTGGCAAGTGGCATCACCTGCCTTCCACCAAACAAGCAGCAGCAAAATGCTGGAAGACAAAGGGTACCACATCAGAGTTCTCAGCCAAAGCAGGCTAAGCCTCTGGATTTGATACCCCTGGAGTAAACATTTGGGATGGGATACGCAGACACACTGATGCAGAATCTCCAGTTGGAAACCATTGATTCTGGGAGTGCTGAGATGTCCTGGAAAACAGAACTGGCCTCTCAGAGCAAGAAGTTGAACAACTTTCAAAGCCACAACATATTCAGGATTAATAAAATGGAGCTGTTAACTCATTGCAGCCAGGCACTCTCCCAATAACATAGAAAACACATAAGAGACAGACAATGCACAATCCCCATGTTTCACCATCTCACTCTGTACAGGATGACTACTGCCCAGTTTTCGAAATAAAGACAAATTCATATATTTTAAAGTAGGGCTGTGTCGTTAATGTTTAAAACGCATACTGCTTGTGCTGATGGATAAACAGGGATGGGATGGGAAGGGAGGGAAACAAGCAAGAGCAGGGAATACGTTTCTCCTCCCGTTTGTTATGTTTTGCTGCGTACCTGAAATGCAGACAATGAAATTGGCTTGCAGAAGAAAAAGCACCTCCCAAACAATTTCCATCCTCCGATTCTCATGCCAAGTGCATCCCTCGGCGAAAAAAAATAACAAAGATCAATATCACAGTTTGAATGATCCCAGAAAATCTCCTTCCAGACTTGCAGCCTGTATTCCCCAGATGTGCTGACACATGTCCGAGCTCTCTCTCCACACAGCTTAAACGAGATCCCTTCTCTTCCTTCACCCTCCAGCAAAGACCAAGGAGCCAACCACCAGCACCGGCTTCTTCCTCCAGGAGAGCGAGAAAAATCCACCAGATCTCCCAACAAGACATAGACAAAAAAGAACAACTGCTCCCTGCTCCGGAAAGTCTCAGATTCCAGGGGACCGAAACGGCAAGTTGTCCCCAAACTCTGCACGCCTCACAAGGGGATCATCACCACAGCCGTCGCCATCCCAGTGTTGCCTTCTCTCCCGCTCGCTACAAAATGATTACAAAGAGATTAATGCACATTGCAAGGGATTTAAGCTTTTTTTTTTTTCTCTTCTTTTTATAGGGTATTTCACCTACATCCACAGACTACAGAGGGGAGAGACGGGGAGGGAGGGAGAGAGAAAGGGAGGGAGGCCGAAATACCAAACCCAGGTCTCCTTGCCAAAAAAACAGCTCAAGCGCCAGTTAATTCCCCAGCAAAGGAGATGAGGTTTTCCGCAATGCAACTGCAGGGGTCGTTCTTCCCTCGCCTACAGATTTTCCTCCCCCTCCACGTCCTCCCTTTCCAAGGTATTGGGGAGAAAAATCATAGTGGGAGCTAAATAAATAAATAAATAGGCAGGCGAGCCTGTCGTGGCTGTTCCTAACATATCTTCCCCGCGTGGCACCTTAACCACTTTACTGGGGTTAATAAAATCTGCAAGATGCCCAAAATTTAAAGCGGCGGGGGGGGGGGTGGCGGGAAACGACGGCTGCTTATAATACACCTACATGAGCTCCCCGTCTCTTTAACCGACTTAAACACACCGGCCCCATCCCCACGCCAAAACCCCCTTTACGGGAGCGAAGCTGACGGTGATTCCGATGCCAACCAAAAGCGCAACGCCTCCCCTCTTCAAAACGTGTATGGCACGAAATAAAATACCATTATTAGGAGATGTCGAAGAGTTAGCAAAAGTAGTTTCCGAGGCGCTCCAGCTCTTGTTCGACCCAATCCGCCCCCGCCCCCCGCACCGCAACCCACACGGGCGCCTACTCCGAAGTCAGTCCGGTTAAGTTCGAGGAGACGCGCTGCCAGGAAAGCCCGCGCTGCCAGCGGCTCCTCGCCCGCAGCCCGTCCCGCCGCGCTCTGCGGGGCTTCGCCGGAGTTCTCGCGGGGCGCCCCCGGCCGCCCGCCCGCTTACCCCTCCCGGCGCTCCGCGTCCTCCTCCTCCGCCGCCGAAGGGCGTGTGTGTGCGCGCGCGCGCGGGGGGCGCCGCAGTCCCCGAAAGAGCGCGGGGTCAAGCGGCGGCTCCAGACGGCCCCCGCGCCGCGGCCAGAGCGCGCCCGGCGGAAGCCTTCGCGGCGGCGGCGGCAGCCTCTCCCCGGGCAGGCGCCGACACGCACCCTCAGCCGCACGGCAGCGCCGAGGCCCGGGCGCCCGCGAGCTCCAGGCACGGCGACCGCGCAGCCCAGCCCAGCGCAGCCCAGCCCGCCACGGAGGCGCCCGGCAGCGCGCGCAGCGGAGCGAGCCGGCGAGCGGGCGGCGTTCCGCGGCGGCGGCAGGCAGGCAGGCAGGCAGGCAGCCCCGCAGCCCCAGCTCCGCAGCCCGAGCTGGAATCCTTGCGCTGGAGAGGGGCGGGGGGACGAGCGGGCTGAGCGGAGGTCGCGCAAGATAGCAGGGCAAGCCGAGGCGTGCCTACTCAGAAGTAAGCCCCACTTAGTGCAATCCCAGGCAGAGTCTCTGTGTGCAAATCGCTGCTTTTCCTTGCTCAGCTCAAACGTGCTCTCCGGGCCATTTATTTAATTGCAGGCTCTCTGCATCTGTGTGCGCGCGCGAGAGAGAGACTGTATGTGAGTACAGATAAGTGCCGTACCAAAAAGAAAAAAAAAAGTTGCCCCAGATTTGCGGGAAAGGACTGCGCCGTAGGGAAATAGAGGCGGGGGAGCGTGTTGGGAAGGTGCAGGAAGGAGCCGGGCAGCGCAGTCTCTTACTCAGAAGAAAGCCCGGCTGAGTTTGGTAGGGCTTCCCCCGCAGCCGGGCTTACTTCCGAGTAGACGCGCATGGGATTATACCGTAAATAGGGCTTGCCAGGGTGCTGAAGCAAAGGCGCGCGGGTGTGTGTGTGTGTGAAGTTTAAGTGCTTTTCCCTCGCCCCCAGCAGAGTAGATTACCGGAAGTGGGGGGGCATAGGAGAGCTCGAAATGTGGGGTGAGGTTGAGGGAAGTGCCGCGCCTACGGCGATTGCCTGCTTGCCTTGGGATCGTACGCTCAAAGGAGCACGGCGTAGTGGCGTAGGGAGATCAGCCGGCCCCCTTCAAGACAGCTACGCGCAGGTTCGCTTGCCTCGCAGCCCTGTGCGGGTTTGCCTGAAGCCAGCACCACTTTGATCAGCGCGACGTGCCCCTGGAACACTGGCTGCCAGCACCAGTCTTCCTGCGGAATGTGAACGCACCGAAATCCGGCCGTGAGCCTAGCTCAGCCGCGGTTTCGCTTTGGGCACGTTTGTGTGTTAAATGCAACGTTTCAGCGGCTGCGGTTCTACGAAGCAAGACCAGTTCCTCCCTCCAAGCAAACGGAATTCATCGGACCCTGTTTACATCAGGAGGGCTGGACGTAGGATACTGCCTGGCATCCTGTATCTTTTACCCCGGTGTGTGAAGCCTGGGAGTGCCTTCCTGCAAAGCCCTGCGTTCTAGCAAGCAGCTACAGCTTTCAAAACTAGCATCCTAGTCTGCTTAGGGGGGAAAAAAGGCTTTTTCTCGTCTCCAGTGTTCTGTACATGGGAACACTGAAAGAGATGACTTTCAGCTAAAAGTAGTGGTTCACTAATCTTTTTAGCTCCTCCAAGCCCACTTCCCTTCGATATGTTTGCTAAAGATCAATTTCCCAAGCAGTGTATGCATAAATGTCAGATCTTGCAGCACCTCCTTGAATTCATATTTTTAAAAACACAGGCTCCCAGCACACAAAATCAGCATCCAATCACATGCCTGCCCATTGATTGCACTGTAAATTGATAATAACTACAGAAATAGGACAGTGTGGATCGCATGCACAGATCATCATGAAACCCCGTGGTTCCCTTCAAATTTACAATCTCATTGCATCTCATCCAATTCCACCAAATCATGGATTTAGGTCTGTGTTCTAGCAAGCCCTGTGTCATGGCTGAATCAGAGGCATGGTTTTGCATGCAACCTGATGATTTTAGCACCATCGCATTAGAGGTTATACCCTACTGCAGCCTTCTTCAACATGGCCCCCTCAAGATGTTTTCGATTACAGTAGCCATCAGCCCCTGGCAGCACTGCCAATGGTCAGGAGTTCTGGAAGTTGTAGTCCACAACAACTCGAGGGCACCGGGTTCAGGAAGGCTGCCTGACAGCTCCATTCCTCTTAACCAGCATGCCTGGTTAATGAGAGAATTAGAGGAGCTGCTCCTGGTACTTCTACATGGACCATCTGGAGTCCAGCAGCAGAAGAGCCTTCAGTGTGGTGGCTCCTTCTATGGAACTTCCACTTTCTGGAGGTCAGGTACCAACACCGTGTTTTTCCCAGTGCCTTCTGACATTTGTCTTCCAAAATGCTTTCCTCGCTGATCAGCCATGACTTTAATGTTATCCTATTTCAATGCATTATTTATTTTTATCATATGTTTACTGTTCAGCTCTCAGAATCCATTTAGATATGAAGCATCATAAATATCCTGTAAATAAATAAAAATTAAAGACCTTCAGCTGCAATCAAAATTAATGCAGATAATAGCATCTGGCAGCACTCACGCATGCAAAAATTGCACCAGCGGTCTAACAAATTCTCCCACTGACCACTGCTGGATGGAAGTGGTGAACCCAAAATGCCTTTTGCAAAAGCTGCATGAGAAGAGCTGGGACATGTATTTTCAGCACCATGCTTGGTGGACAGCGGCTTTTGGCACCAGAGATGCATCAACCTGCCTCCTGCTTCCCCTTTACTGTCCCTCATCTCATCATATTCGGTACAGCCATACTGGAGTAGAGTAGGAACTGGCCTTCTGTCAGGGCTATGAAATAAGCCTCCTGCATTCCCCCTGGCCCTTACTGTGGTTGCTGTCAGGCAGATCTTTTCCGAATCCACACCACAGGCTACAATATAAATATCGCTGCACCCTAAAGAAGACCAACCATGAGTATGACGGAGAAATGCACAGCCTTATTTCACCTGCCACACTGTGAGTGCTTGGTTGGTGAGTGGTTGTAGTGATGCTGTAATGCTCCTGACCTGTATGTCAGATCAGTGAGTATAGGATTGCAGCCTGAATCAGCTTGATTCAAATTGTTAGACAGGGTGGCATCTTCTCAACTGTGCCTCTCCACCCTCTCCTATAGGTAGAATCCAATAAGTCCCATTCATTTCAGTGGGCAAAATTGAGGTAGGACTGACATTGGATACACTCCATTATAAATGAATGACTTCCAATAGCGTCTGGAGGAAAACATGACTTTGCTGGACGCAGAGGCAAAACTTGCCCACCGGGTGGGTGGAACACAGGATGTGTCTGTGTGCAAAGTGCACGGCATTCTCCCCTTTGCAAATGCAGGCCTACTGCATGCACACACACACACACACACACACACATGTTTTGCTAAGGACAGACGTGCAGGGATGGTGCTATGCGAAGCCCTTGGCTTGTAGAACAGTGCACCCAGGTAAGTACTGATATTAAAAATAAAACAAGTTATCTTTGTCTCAAGGATTGATGTGATACTATCCAAGGCACAGGCTCGGTGTCTGTGAAAGACAGTGGATCTGATTATCTTTTTTTAAAGAATCTGTTTTTGTCTTTCCCAACTTTTGCTCCTGCCAGGTTAAATTCTCTTTCTGTTA